GGTCCCGACCCATGACTCTTGTGGTATGGTGCGCATTTGAGCGGATGCATGAGGCACCGCAGTTGGCATTTTCCCCTCTCAAGAGACCTGTGTTTGGAAAATTCTCAATGACATCTGGCTAATTGAACCTGTGAATTGTTGGGCAAATTAAATTAAATCTGAATAAATCTCAGTATGGAGCTATTGGACCAAGGACTAGACACAGGGTAAAGATAACTCTGCATCTGTGGGGTCAAATCCAGCAAGTCCAATGCCCAGCTAGGTCATGTACTTTGCATCCCCCACACAGATTTTCTTTTGTTACCTGTCTGCTTTTGCCCTCTCCCATTCTTCCTTAGCTCCCTCCCATCATTCCACAAGAGTCTTTGTCCTTTCCCGCCATCACTAATTCTCTCCCTCATGTGTGCTTCTATTTCTTTCTTTCACATGGTCCGTTCCACCCCACGTCTGAATTACTTAATTGGAGCCATTTATTGGATGGGAACCTAAGTGAGACGTTGTTGGCACTGTCAGTTAGATGTTGATTAATACACCATGATATATCTGCCTCTCCCACTGTGACGTAAAGCAATTTGGAAAGGTGAACTCAGTCTACAGAGCTGAGCAGCAGTCTTTCCCATTGGCTCTGGGGAGGCGGTACGTTTGTATCTCAAAATGTCGGTGAGAGGCTGTTGGCCTGGATTAGGTGGCAGGGTGGCCTGACTGTTGGAGCCATATGTCTGCGACAGGTGACTGGATAAAACGCGACCTCATGTTACACAACAAAGAGCTGGACCTCCTGCTCTCTGATCCCTGGCCAGATCCTTCCTCTCCCTCTCTCTCACTCTTTCCCTCTCCTCACCGTCATCCCTTTGCCTGGCTTCACACCACACGCAACAGCCTCTCAGACTCATCCTTCTTGTGTCACTTCTGCTTTTTACCCTCACACTGTTCTGCACTATACAATAGGGCTGAACCTCTTCATAAATGATGGCGTCTTACTGAGACGAGCAGAACCATGGATGGCACAATGTCATGGATGGTGCAGTGTTGGTCACCTTGTCATATCTCTAAGTTATACACCGTGGACAGAGAATGGACAAAAAATAAATATTATCTGTTATAAATTGCTAGTGATACAATAAATTTAAACAATTGTTGTTGTCACATACCGTGTTATTTTCTTTTCTGCGGTTGTTCTAACTGCTCTTGCAGTTTGCGTGATGTTGTGGTATTTTTATCCGAATTCGAGGAAAATCAGGGTGGTTCGGCGGAGTGCCTGGAGAGCAGGTGTGTGATGCACACTGAGCCTGTTTTACAGTGGAATCCTAAAATCCCTGCACTGACACAAGGGTTATACGGGCTCGGCTTAGAGCACTTTAGGGATTGGGGAGGTCTCCAGAGGGCGCTCATCTCCTTATCTCTGTGCCAGCCTCTTCATTCTCCCCCTCCTTCCATCCTTCCCTCTCTGCCCTTCTCTCACTCCCTCCCTCAAACTCAAAACGTAACTAAACTTAAGACAATTATTCTCACCCTGTAAGGGGGACATTTTCTGATTATAAAGTGTAGAGTGTGTTACTGACGTCTGTACCAGGGGTTTTGAATCTAAAGAGATGCAGTGTGGTCAAGAACACACTGTATTGTATTCTTTTATTGCTTTGAGTGCATCATGTCTGTGATATTTATGGTGAGCTTGAATGCATTTCCATGATGTTCCACAGCCTTTGGCTACCCATGGTTTTTTTTTTTCACATTTTTATGTACTTGCTCCACTTGCATCATCTACTGTTCTAACATTGAAATGCCCTTACAACTTCCTGCAAACTTCCCTTTTTCTTCATGTGAATCCAGTCTCACATTACATGCTACAAAGTGTGTGAGAGTGTGTGAGAGTGCAGGGAGTCTGAGACTGTTTGAGAGTGGGTGAGAGTGTGGGGAGTGTGTGAGTGTGAGGATGTGTCAGTGTGCGAGAGTGGCCCAGCTGACTGACTGGTCTCAGCGACTCCTGTGTGTCCCATCTCCCTATCCCCCTGCATTCACTCTCACTCACAGTTTTATTCAGTCTCTATTATCTGTTTCAAATTTGCTTGATATGTGTATGTTTACCGTGTGCCATTAAACCTTGTTGCCAAAACACCTGCAGTAAAGACCACAGAGAGTCCACGTAATACCTGGTAATCAGAGTCTTCTTGTAGCAGGATTATGCACAATCACCTGTTCTTTCACCGGGCATGCTTATGTGTTCATGCAGTTAAAGGGTTTACTTTTCTCACCAACCTCAGCCCTGGGGTCACTGGGAGCTCTTAAAGTTCAGTTAAGTGGATCACGCATTATCACGGTGCCCTTAAAAATCTCCTCCTAGAAGCTCACTGATATTTCCCAGACATCTGAGGGACATATGAGGTCTGGAGATGTCAGGGAGGCATCTGCTAATTTGTATCTTGGCATGTAAACAACTGCGGACAACTCAGTGTTTGGGCTGTTTATGGAAGCACAAGACTGCATTACCTAGAGCACATGCATTTAATGCTATTATTTTATTTAAAATATAGAATTAAATAGTTCTGTGTGTGTGTGTGTGTATGAGAGAGAGAGAGAGAGAGAGAGAGAGAGAGAGAGCAGAGGTGGGATAATGCAATGTGGATTATGGATTAAATTATGGAATTTACATGGAAGCACAGTTTTTGCTTAATTGTGACACCTTTTGTAAAAAAAATGGTTGTATCACTGTTGTAAAGGCATTTCAAGTAGTACAAAACTGTCAGCCCACTTCTTTTCTGAAAAGAACTATTTTCTGTCATTTTCACTCCTGTTCTTTCATTTTTTTCCAGTTGTTGTTCTTTACAGTATTTGACTTCTCCTCATGTTTGAACATGTTTGCATGGCAAAAGAAGAAACAATGTGTTGTGTGTTCTCTCAGGATACTTGACTAGGTAACAGAAGTTAAACTACAGTAGGGTGACTAGTATGTTATTATTCAATAATAACAACAATGGATTACATTTATGTATTGCCTTTCAGGGTTCTCAAACCACTTTACAGCAGTGATGGTTGGGGAAGGGGGCACTTACTTCAGCCATCACTAATATGTAGTACCCACCTGCACCAGCCATTTTGCACTGGAACACTCACTATATGTGATTTGTGTTGTGGTGCAGGTTCTACAAAAGCTGGGTAAAGCAGATGAGACTAAAGATGCCATTTTCGAGGAGGGTGTGGCAAACTTCAACAAGCAGCTGGTGAGAACCCTTTCATTCATTCATTCTGTCCTCTCATTACCTCTACAGACCCCTATCCCTTGCATGGCACCCCCTTCCTTCTCTGTCCCATAAATGTCTCATCATACACAGAATTAGCTCTCTCCTGTAGATCTCCCTGCCGCCAAGAGACCTCCCTCTCTTCTACATTATAGACCTCCCACTCCATCACAAATCTCCCTGCCGCCTGCAGGATAGACCTCCCCCTCTGTCACAGACATCCATCTCTCCTATAGTATAGAACTCCCACTCTATCACAGAAATCACTGTCCCCTCCACTATAGACCACCACCTTTCTCACTGATTCTCCCAGTCTCTCACAAACATCCCTCCCTTATAGACCTCTTCCTTTCCTACAGACCTCCCTCTTTTTTGCAGAGATTGCTTCTTTGCACATACCCTCTTTTCCTTTGCACCAGTCTGTCCCAGTCTCAGCAGTATCTCATGGTTTCTTTTGTCAGGCAGAGGGCACCAAATTGCAGAAGGACCTGAAAGCCTACCTGGCAGCTGTCAAAGGTATGCTGTGCTTAGTGATATACCTAGTGGCAAGTTTCTGTTCCTGTGTGTTTCCAAACACGCATAACTCTGCTCTTCTGTGTGTCTGGCTAGCACTGGTTGGTCTGTCCCTGGTGTCTCAGGAAGCCCTGTTTACCTCTTTGCAGGGCATGAATGCAACAGGCAAACATTTGGTCTGTGCTCATGCATAACCGTCACTGCTGTGCCTGTGACATTAGGCCTCTCAGTCCCTTTAGTCTTGAACTGGGGTTGCAGCATGCATAATCACAGTTTACAACATTTCTGGTTCTTGTCCTGCCTTGCAGTCCCTGGTGTACTTTCATATTAATAATTTATTCAGTGAAGGCTGCTGTCAAGGGGCAGGATAGCAGTCACTTTCCTGGGTTCCTAAGCCGAAGAATGTTTTACTCCAAAGTTTTACTTGCAACAAATTACAAAGCAAAGTGAACTGGTGCGAGCATTTATCTATACCATGTAAAGAAACACAGTCCCAGTTCAAACACAGTTCAAACAGAAGCTTTTATGTTTTGTCTGTATTGCACATGTTTCCTGTGTTCAAAGCAAATCCTTAGAGCAAAATGAACAGAAACCATTTCAAACTGTGCATGTGAGCTAACACTAATGCATTAGCCTACATCATACTTACAGGTAGTTTTGCAGTCTTCCTTAGCCGATCTGACTTTGGTCAATTGCCTTACATCAAGATAATGATGGTAACCATCTTCAGATGAATATGATACTGTTTGTGTCAATACCACCAGTTCTCTACCGGGAATTCCTGGCGGAGACAGCTGAACTTAAATAGGTCCAATTTTGCAGTTGCTATCCAGGAGTTGGCAAGTCTCACATAATGCTATGTCAATCAGTATTATTAGAATAGCTCTGTCATTGCATGCACTGAGGCTCTGCAGTGTGATTTGCCAGTGGCTGGTCACACCATCATCACACCAGTCTCCCCATGTTTAGCTGTTTACTGTCTTGTTCTGTGCATGTTGTGGGACTGAAGTGGTGACTGTTTAGGCCCGTAAGTGTCAGCATGACACAACAAAGCAATGCATTAGCCACTTGCATGAGATCTGTTAATATCAGATATTTCAATATATCATTACATTGTTGTCATTTAGCAGACGCTCTTATCCAGAGCAACTTAGACAGGTTGCAGTTTTCACATGCTACCCATTTATACAGCTGCATATTTACTCAGGCAATTGTGGGTTAAGTACCTTGCCCAAGGGTACGACAGCAGTGTCCCAGTGGGGAATCGAACCAGCAACCTTTCGGTTATGAGCCCTGCTCTTTTCCACTATGCTACACTGCCGTCCGTGTCAATATCAATATTGTGTGGCAGTCCAGCTCTCCTAGTGATGCACGTGTCTCTTTCCCTGCAGCGATGCACGAATCCTCCAGACGTCTGCAGGATTGCCTGGCGGACATGTACGAGCCAGAGTGGTATGGCAAGGAGGAGGTGGACTCCATAGCAGAGGTCATCATTAGTATTAGTACTACCAGGCTCCTTTGACCAAGTTTGCCATTACTGATAACCACTTTAGTCTTTAGTGAAGAGTGTGTTGCTTGGACTCTTTGTGAATGGAGCTGTCCATGTGCATGTCTGTGAGCTATACAGGAAGTGGGCATGGAAGAGGAATTAGAATCGGAGTTGTTCTTTTGCCTTTTTTCCCACCCGTGTTCTTCATCACCGTCCTACCAGATCCATTCTGTATCCGTTTCTCCATCCCTCCCTCTGTCTCACACACTCACTCTCTCTCTGCATGTACCTTGTGTCCTTCATTCTCTCCTTATTCTTCTCACTCTGAAGGAGATGTTAGAGAAGGAGTTGGATGCTATCTTGGAGGTAAATGTGTTGCGCGCCCCGGTTCTTAGTGTGTAGAGTTAGACTGAAGGTCTCAGAAGAGACACAGTAGCTGGGGTCCATCATAGTGTCCTGTGCTATGGTAGTTACAGAGTCTTAAGCTTACAACTAGACGAGAATATGGTTGGCCGACTTTCTGTGCGTGCATTTGTGCGTGTGTGCGTGCATACGTTTGCGTGTACCTGCTTTTCTCTCTGGTTGGGTGTGTTTCAGTCTTGGTTGACTGTGGTAACACTGTCTGTACTGCAGGACACCGACCTTCTGTGGATAGACTTCCATCAGAAACTGGTGGACCATGCCATGATCTCAATGGATACATACCTGGCTCAATTCCCAGATATTAAGGTACTGGTTGGTTATATGTTAGTAGCTGTAGTTCTATGGTCTTCACCTCTATTCTTGAGCCATCAGGACTGTGTTGCTCTCTGACTCCCCCTGCAGGCACGCATCGCGAAGCGCGACAGGAAGCTGGTGGATTATGACAGTGCAAGACATCACTTTGCCTCCCTGCAGAAGGGGAAGAAAAAGGACGAGGTCAAGATGGCCAAGGTAACATCCCTCTCCAACACACACAATCTCCCAACCTGTGTCAGCACTGAATTCATTCAAAAAGGTGGACTTTTTAACTAAAACCCATATCGCTGGCTCGTCTAACACACCATCATGTGAGAATCAGGTTTTTGTTCAGACACATCCGTAAGGTTCATGGAGAAATAACGGTCCCACTCTTATGAATCTGTGACAAACGACGTCACTGTCCCAGCAGGGCTGATTCAGAGTTGGCTGATGCATGGTGTCTTTACTGACATTTACAATATGGATCTGTGTGCGATTAACCGCAGCTACTCCTCTGTAGCAGCTGCAGATAACCACATCCCACTGCATCCAGAGAGTGCATCTGAATGTCTTTTTCTTTATATTCTTTGTACTCACGAAGGTCTTGGCTTGTGAATGGAAACTGACCCTCAAAATGCACTTTGAATGTGTTTGTGTGTGTGGATGAGTGTGCTAACTCTGTGCGTTTGTCTTGCTTCTCTCTCTCCCTCTGTGTGTCTGTGCGTGCATGGCCAGTCGGTCGCGCTCCTGGAGAAGGCAGCCCCCGTGTGGGCCCAGGGAATAATCTCAGCACATCATGTTGCTCAGACTAACCTGTCAAGATGCCAGGTGACTGTGAGCTGAAGCTTGCCCTCACTGCTAACTGAGTTCTGGTACCTCACAGCTGCATCTGTGTGGCTCCAATAGACACAAGCCTCACACCCTTTGTAGCTTTGTCTTTGTTTCTCATGGAAATGAGATTCATATTGCAACATTTTATGTAATGATCCTGCAAAAGGAGTAATTTTGTATTTGGAATTTGTGCTGGACACTGACTGTACTGTCTGGAAGGTTTATTTTTTTAAATTTAAATGTTCCTCTGTATCTGGTTATGTCATTCAACTTTTAAATTGAATTTTCTACTGTAGTTCTTTGCCTTTGCTTATGGGCATACTGTTTGTGTGTACATGTGCACATTTGTGTGTCCATGTATATGTGTATGTGCGTGCATGTGTGTGTGTCCGTGCACACGTGTGTGTGTGTCTGTGTCTGTGTCTGTTTCTGTGTCTGTCCATGTGCACGTGTATGTGGCCATGCGTACATGTGTGTGTATGTCTGTGTCTGTCCATGTGCGCATGCGTGCATGTGTGTGTGTGTGTGTGTGTGTGTGTGTGTGTGTCTGTGTCTGTGTCTGTGTCTGTGTCTGTGTGAAGGCAGAGGAGGAATTGGGAAGAGCTCAGAAGGTGTTTGAAGAGATGAATGTGGATCTGCAGGAGGAGCTTCCATCGCTCTGGAACAGGTGAGCCCCAGAACCTTGGAGGGGAAGGAGATCTGGAGAGGGGTGGCGAGGCATTGGCGAAACATGTGATTATGTTTTACATTTAATCTCTCTTTCTCTATCCATCCCTCCCTCCCGCCTCTACATCTCCTCTTCCACTCTCTCCACAGTCGTGTTGGCTTTTACGTTAACACATTCCAGAGTGTGGCGGGCCTGTCGGAGAAGTTCCACAGGGAGATGGGAAAGGTGAGAGAGTCTTGTCTCCCATTACTGGTCAAGTATTGATCTGTCGGACAGTTTACTGATCCATTGAAGAATAGGTATTACAAAAAGTCTCCTGGCAGACCCTAGTGGACATTATTTCACATGAATAGCATTTACAGTTTCCAGCCAATAGAGATCTTCACAGGTCAAAATAATTACACCTGACCCATGCTCACCCCAAGGCAGGTTTCATTTTACAGCAGCAACTTTTCTTCTAGTCTATATTAACAAGTAAAATAAATGTCCTCCCCTCTATAGAGGTGGGTTTCTCTGCTCTTCTATTTCTACGATATTTCCTGTCTTCTCTCAAGTTGTCTTAAATCATTTCTGAAAACATCTTTAGAGACATAATTAGAGTACTGTTTTACTCTACATGGTCTGGCATGTGCTTGCACTAAAAACATAAATTAGAGATTTTCCCACTTGACCCCAGCACAACCTGACCAACCCATTACAATTTCAGACCAAAAACATCGCTCAGGTTGAGGTTGGGTCTGTGTGGAATCCTGAACACCCCTACTTCAGAACATAAACTGATACTCTCAGTACTCTGAGATATTCCTAGTGGCACTGTGTGAGCTCACTGAGAATTCTGTCTGTTTTCAGCTCAGCCAGAACCTGCACGATGTCATGACCAAACTAGAAGAACAGAACAGGTGAGTCACTGAGACTGTAGCAGATGTGAATGCTTATTGCCAGATCTGCACCTAGTTATCTAGCATCTAGACATTATAAGTCTGGCCCCATACTTTCCCCACGGCTACTGTATTCAGTTAAATCTAATTATGCAAGGTTAATATGTTGCACTTTATTTGATTATTTACAAGTCTCCATTGTATGCTTGTTGATACCATGGCTGGCCATGTCATCTCTGTCCTCATATTGAAGGATACCAGTAAAACAGGACTATTTCTCATGGCGTTAATATATCCACTTCTGCAAATGTGCTGTATCTTTTAGTTGTATGAGTTGGTGAAAGCTTTAGAGTAAATGTACCCCCCGTCCTCACAGAAAGGCAGGTAAACAGGGTACGAAGACAGCCGGATCAGCGAAGAGGTACAGTCACATCACTGCAGATGGGGGTTTGCTGCTCACTCACTCATGCTGGGTGTCTCTGCTGTGTCACTGAGGAGGCTTTGGGTGATGCTGGCTGAGTTTATTGGTAGAGGTCTTCAGGAGTCCAAATGTTTACAGTGGACCCGGACCAGAACTAAACATTACATACCAGACACGACCCTACCCAAGGCAAAAAATATATATGTACCAAGCCTTATAGAACCCAGTATACTTCCTCTGTTAGATAATTAGCTGATGATGAGCAGAAGCATTTTGACACTTCGCACTAACCCATATGTTGGAAAGTAAGAGGGATATTACAATGTTAAAATACTGGTCAAAATGCTTTTAAAAACCTGAGTGGTGAATGCTATTGATAAATACTAACTTTACTGGAAACAAACACAGCTGCTCTCTATAAAAAGAAATATCTGACAGATAAACAAATTAAATGTATATAAACTACTTGCAGAAAGTTAGAATCAAATATAGACTTGCCTATTATATTATGCACAATACATCAGATAAATTTTTAAATTAACAGAATGGAAACATAATTTGAGAAGATTCAAATTAACTACATAAATAATTTCTTAAATGATCCAAAAGGTGCAAAAAATGGCTGCTAATGTAAATTAAGTGGAAAGAAGGCATTAATATGTCTCTACGTGCCACAGCTATCATACACATTCAAGAGCCATTTTCAAACCTGACCCTGACCCGACCTGTTACAATGTCTGATCTGAAAATCTGTATATGGCAGATTTTGTTTGGTTTTGCATTCCGGTTGAGATGCGTGAAGACCTCTAGTTATGAGTGAGTCTGCATGGTGACTGGTGGGTTGGAATTTGAGTTGTAACATCGACAGGCGTGCTGAGAGTCCATTTGCATGGGTAAGAAAATGCACGCAATGTGCTTTGAGTGAGCTGGCCTGGTAGTGTGAGTTGCGAATGGGTTTGTGTCACGCTCTCTCCTGCCTAATGCTCTGGGTATGTTTCCCTCACTGCCCCCCTGCTGCACTCTGATGTATGTGAGGTCATGCAAGCCTGGACGGAGCACTGAGTCAGAATGTGCCTCGAAGCAGGTGTCAATCATTGTATCTCTTGTCTGTCTCCTTCATTCCTGCAGCGATCAGGATGGCACCAACCACAGATCATCCATTCCCAAGTCTCCATCTAAGGTAATGTCCCCAAGAGGACACAGGCATTACACAGCAGACAGTTTCTGCACCGTGCTGTTTCTTCTTCCCCTACATGGACCAATGCTGGAGGAGCACAACTGTGTTGCTGTTTGAGGTTTGCGTGTCTGTTAAGAT